CTTCAATATCAAATTTTAGACTTTTAAGAGCGACTGTTAATCCGCACTTCGTCCATTCGGACTTGTATACTGAACCATCACTAATTTTTTCTTTGTTGCTGAATTCATAACAATCAAAGAAATTAATAAGCTTGTCCGCTATAGCACTTTCAAGCCATTTAATGCTAATAGTTTCATTTGAAAGGATTTCCATGTTTAATGAACAAGGAATTAAATATTGCAACTCTGAAAACGACTATTTAAATAGTGGTTATTTACTGCGCCAATTTTCATTGCTAAAAGTGGTTTTATTGCTACATCAAAATTGGAATAAGAATATCAGATTTTCCTATTAATGTGAATCAAGAACGATATTTTTGCTAATGGTTACTATTTCAATAGTCGTTTTCGGCCTTGCTTTGAACTCCATTGATTGTTACGTAGAACATTCAATTTGCCAAGATAGGAATTCTCCTAAGAATATTATGCATATGTTTCGGACCTTGTACCCAAACATTGTTCTATAAATAGTATTTTTATACGGCGTACGTACAGTGTGTAACAATTTTGCTAATTCACTTTGTTCAAGTTGTTTTTTTTATAAGTTTATGTACGTATGACGGAAATTATTTGTAAAATAATTTCGTTATCTGGCTGTTAGGTTTAATATGTCAACGGCCGAACCAACAGGATGACTCGAGCTCTTTTGGTGATGATTGCGTCATTGTCAAATAGCGAAGATGCAATCACCATCAAAATAACTCGAGTTATTCTGTTGGTGCGATCATAGTAAGGTGCCGGATAATATATAATAATTAACATACCGTAGTTAAGTTTAAATATATTAAATGTTTGATATTCTTAATAACATCAATAAACAAATGTCCATTGTTTCGTAACGAATGCGAATTTATCGTAGCCTTTTTAGATAAAGTGATTCATAAAAAAAGCCAACACTGATTTTATCCTCAGACATTTCTCGTTATAGTCTTTTTTTTATATGTGAATATTATTTAATTTCGATTTTAAATATAATGTCGAATATATAAGGTACTTAAACTATAAACTAGATACTGTATATATTTTAAATAATATACGTTGTTCGGAATTAATGTTCCAAAAGAAAATTAGGTAATTGGCAAATATGAACGCAACAGGTATGTGCTTACCTATTACGAAATTAAAAAAGGCGTTGAAAGTCTAAACAAAAGTTTTAGGTAAATGGGGTTTAACAAATTTCCTTATTCCCTACGGCTTATTTAGTTGTGCCAAATCATGTGTACTACGATCCGAAAATCATACAAATTGAGGAATCATAATACGTCTTATCTTTAGGTGCTCTTTTGTTTTTTTTTCACGGTTTTTTAATTTATTGCGCAAAGCAACAACGTTTGCTTGTCATAAGTAAATTTATCCATTCATTATTATTTAGCAATGTTTTTCCATGGTACAATAATCAAATTGTTCAAGAAGCAAAAGTATAAACTGATGTAAGTAACAATTGATATTCAAATAATGAATTTACGATAATCATTTGATAATTATACTGAAATTTTTTTTAATTATAGTTGCAGGACAAGATCAGCCTCAAATAAAAGTAATGATGGCATCGAAAAAACCATGGAAAGATTATGTAATTTTTATAATCAAGAAAGATTAAAAGGAACAAGTGATATCAAAATACTTGAACAAATTGAACGGTTCGTTGCTACCGAGCAGAAAAAACCGGAGGATATTATCAATTGGTGTTTGGATAATTATAATATTACGCAACATAAACATATAATTCAATGTATTCTTTCGGACTGTTATTTTAATGGAAAATGGGTGTCAGAAGATAAAACGAAAGCTTTTGAATTAAATCAAAAATCCGCTGAAAATGGTTATGTTGTAGCATATTGTTGCCTTGGCTATTGTTATTTAAAGGGCATAGGAACTGACATTAATCATGTGAAATCATTCAAATGTTACCGTAAAGCGGCTAAAGAAGGTTGTACTATTGCCTACAATGGCTTGGGTGTTTGCTATAGTGATGGCATAGGAACTCGAATTAATGAAAAAAAAGCATTTAAATATTTTGAAAAAGCAGCTAATGAAGGATTTCCTTTAGGACAATATAATCTTGCTTCTTGCTATCAGTATGGTGAAGGAACTACGGCAAATGATAAAAAGGCCTTTAAATTGTATCAAAAATCTGCTTTTGGTGGTTATACCGCTGCGTATAGAAAACTTGGTGATTTTTATAGTAGAGGAACAGGAACAGAAATTGATGAGGAGAAAGCATTTGAATGTTATAAAAAAGCCGTGGATAAAAAACTGTGAACTTTTAACATAAGCCAATTATTTATACATATATCAATATTATCTACGTAAACAAGAATACCTTTACCTCATTATTATCAACTTATATCTCCCTTTGACAACAATACTATTCTTAAAAAAATTCCTATATACAAGTTTTCCAACATTAATTCTTTTTACCCTTCTCTATGTTGATAACAACGAGGAATTACTGTATTTTTATTTACTTGGATTTTGTATAAAAAACAATCATTGAAAATTTTCATAATGTCTAGATTATCCAAGCATTGATTATTTTAATGTACTGTTAGATTCCTGTTTCCTGTGAGATATTATATTTGAATTTGCTACTTTCATTTGTGCAATAAAAAAAAATCAAATATTTGGTTATCTTATATTTATTTTTAAGCTGATTTACTAATTTTTTTTTTACTGATATATGCAACATACAGTATACTAAAGTTTACGAATGCTTTACAATTTGGTTTGTTGCAACTGGTCAGGTGAATGATGTGCAATTTAGTTAATTTATTTCTAGAAACTTATTGATCCGAAGGAAATCGTCGTTTTTACTCATTTTGTGATCGAGATACACACACTATAAATGTTAGAACTTTATATACATTTTTGTTTTACTGACCGACAACGATTTTATGTTGTTATGTAAATCATTGCTTTAGGCGGAGATGCAGTAAAAACTATCGCCGTAACTAGAGATGGGCAAAATGCGCATTATGCATGTCATGCGCATAATAATAATTAGAACCTGCACGGTAAAATTACATCATCATTAATTAATAAAGAAAGTTGTTATTAATTTTGGAAAATTACGTTGATTATGATCACGTGAATGCATTTAATGTTGCACTTTAATCATATCAATGCGCATGCACGAGAGTCTGCCAGGGCGACCACCAAAAGTACGGGCACATTATAAGACGTCACAGTCATATCTTAATAACCAGTAGTATATTGCCTTGATACATATTTCATTTTAAATTTTCACAATAATAAAGCTGTATGCAGATTCTAAGAAATTATACAGTGGCTATGGCATCTTATCATGTGCCTCGTACTTTTGTTGGTCGCTCTGGAAGATTCCATGCAAGATGCATTCATTATAGCATCATGGCATGGCGCCCATCTCTAGCCGTAACTAGTTACAACATAGGCCTTAGCTAGTACGGCTTAAGCTGTAACAGTTTCTACCGCGATAATCAGATTTTAAATTTATTTGTAACTAATATCGATATAACGATAAATATTTACCTGATAGTTTACTATAAATTTTTTTAAATATCACCGAATAAAGAAGTTATTTACTGTACTAATAACTATAAAATAATTACTATTAAAAAAAAAAACTTGTCTTCATTAAATTAAAACCAATTATTGGTTTATTTTTACAAATAATCTCAACGTCGTACAATTTTAAATAACATTAATTTTTATCGTTATATGTGAGCATTCGAATATCTTAGGATATACTAAAACTTTTCATATCAATATCACGTAAAACACCATACTATATGCTATTTGATTGAGTACTGTACGTACTTCTGTACTTATTTAGCTTCATATTGATTTTTTGGCAAAATAATTACAAGGGCCTACTTCGATTAATTCTAAAACATATCTATTGATAGAAAGTCACATTAAGAAACGTCAAAAATCAATAATGAATTCTGTAAAATGCGAACTAAAAATATCGTTAAAGATAATTTTTATTATTAAGTTATATCAGCCAATTTTATTTAAATAGCAGTTAAATAGCATTTAAACTATTTTTATGCATCATTAAATAATAAATTTTACAAAAAAAAAAAAGAGAAACAAGGTTTACAAGATTTACAAGATTTACAAAAAAAAAAAAAAAACAAGACAATGTAAAGTTAAATGATAAATATTCAAAATAATATTAAATAGTGATTACCATTGTACATATATGGCTGACTATATGAAAAATTAAATAAGCACATTATTGACAAAAAATCTGCAGAAGTATTTTTCACTAAGAGGCAGATTATGTAGATTAAAGTTAAGAGGTAATTGTAGGTCCTCCTTTTGCAGCATTCGGTCTTCCGGTAGGTGTGGTTCCAGCAGCCCCGAATCTAGTCCGAGTGGCAGGAGTTTTGCCTCTTGTAGTAGAAATTTGTCCAAGAATGGGACTTGAGATAAGCAATAAAAGAAACATAAAAGCAAAAATGTTTGATGACATCTTAATAGTTCTTAGAGTTGGTAATAAATAAATATGGACAAGGAAAAATGGTTGTAATCCAAGTTAAAATGAGAAATAAAAAATTTAAAGGAGCTTTTATTATTTATTAAATAGATATGCATATTATTAGAAACGTCGATAAGCGATGCGGCTGAGAGATCCGCGAGGCTAAACGGTGCCTGAGTACGGGATTACTTTCTTGAGGCAATAATGCTTCACGTGTGGTAATCGTGGCTGTGATTTACTATACTGTGTTTATATGGGTAGGGATGGAAAAAATCATGATTTAAATCGATTCTTATGATTTAAAAATGATTTAAAGCATTGATTTTTATTACGTAATACATAATATTTAATTTAAACATTGAGTCTTTGGGAATTTTTTTAAAAACCACTGCCATTACGATTCAAAAAATATACTATTTCTTCCAAATACAGTACGTAATAAAAGATTTAAATAAAAAATCAGTAATTTATAACATCGTGATTTAAATCATGTGCATCCCTATGTATGGGCGAAAATTTATAGTGATTATTAAAATTAAATGTGATAGTCTAAATTACTAAGCGCATACATACGTACTGACCATAAAATTTATAGATTAACTGTATAAAAACTGATAAGAGCTCGTAAATTATCCAAGGGCCCATAAAGTAAGCTATATAAAAACTGATAAGTAACTGATAAGTAACTGATAAGAAATTTTACGATTATTACCTTACAATAGGAAATAATAAGTAATTTTATTCTTAGCAACAATTTTTCGTTCATTCTCAATTTTGATCACTCGCCTCCGACTTTATCATGTGATTTATTTTGCAGTTAGGCCATTCAAAGTTAATTAGTTGTTTATGTTACAAGCCGGTTAGGGCAGCCGCGGCTAGCCGGCTAAACCAGTCGATGTAATATGATCGGCTGGCTAATGCGGCTTAAGGTCACATGACTTTAGGTAGTATAATTTAGGCCAGAATGATAATGTCAGCCAGAATTAGATAATAGAAAGCAAGGATCTGAAAATTTCCGAAGAGAAAATGAACTAATATCGATTGTTTTAAATTTCCAATATCTTCCGAAAGTAAAAACTTTGGTCTTAGCCATTAGCCAGCCGCTAAGCTGAATTTTTTATCGGCTGGCGATAAAAACCTTATGGCTTGTAACACTACTCAAGCACGGGGGGAGGGGAAATTTAAACACATATGGGGTCTTTGCCTTGAAAATCACCTTCCGACATTTCCGATCGGGCTAATTCGGACAAAAACAAAGCCGTGTATTAGTTCCTGTTTATATGTAAACCCCCTTTTGTCTTCATGGTTCAATAGTTTATAGAATAAAGTTTCGAATCAATAAAGCAAAAAAGATATTCAAATATAAACGTGAACTAATATACGAATTTGTTTTTGTCCGAATTAATCCGATCAGAAATGTCGGAGGGTGATTTTCGAGGCAAAGACTCCATATCCGACACAGAATATTTGGCAAAATATCATTGGCCATCATTAATCATGTGATTATTTGAGACAATCCTGCGCTGTGATTGGCTTGTTTAATTTTCGGGCCTTATGCCTGTGATGATCGTCGACGCTACATAATACAATTATTTATTGTAGAATTAAAATAGAAAAACTTCTTTAAATTCAGTTTAGTAGTTGTAGAGAAATCATCGCGAATAGTTTTTTTAAAAAAAAGAAAAAAATCGGGTAAAATTTTCTTTCTTTGAAATTTAGACGATGGTTTCTCAACAACTAAGTATCCCTATGAAAAATTTTCAAAAACCGTATCCCGATTTTCTCCAAATTATCATTCCACTATCATTCCAGAAAATGCTCATTTTTCGGAACGATAGTGGAATGATAATCTGAAGAAAATCGGAATACGTTTTTTGAAAATTTTTTATAGGGTATCCAAATTTGATAGAGAATTTTTTATTCTTCTGTGGAGTCATATAATTGAAATAAAAAAGTTTGATCGATTTGGATAAGGCCACACAAAGTTAATTTTTCGTTTTGCATTACCCGCCGACCCATTTTTTCAATTTTTTGAATTTTTTTTTTTTTAAGTTCCAATTGTGCCAATTGTTCTATATTTGCCATTTAATTTTTATCCATAAATTAATCCGGTATCACCTGACAGAGAACTTATTTTCCGGAATTGCCCGATAGAACTGATAAAAAAATTCGATTACCGGCCTAATTTTCTGATTCCATGTTATGCAAAGCGAAAAATTAACTATGCTTGGCCTTAAATATGAACACGAGTCTATTAATTCTGTATATTTGAAAAAAAAAAAAATCCGACCGACCGACCGTTGATTTTCAAACCCATGTAATGCAAAACGAAAAATGAACTTTGCGTGGCCTAACAGGTTATCGAGAAACATTCATTAAAGGCTAAAAAAAGTTTGGCCGCGGCT